AAATAAACCAGACGACAACAAATATGCCAATCAGTTGTAAAAATGTGCCTATAAATTGACTGTTTGTGACATTTTTACATTGTAGGGTATTAGGACTGTTACAGGTAAAGTTTAAAAATGTGTCCATCCAATGTATTTTTTGATAACTTACAAAACTTTGCAATATTTTAAGATCTAAAGCAATAGTTATGACAACGAGGTATAACGAATTTTTTTCTAAAAATATCTGGCCGCTAGGTGTCGCCTATAGCGAGTGAATTTATAAATAAAGGTATGCCCCGGTATCGTAGAACCACCGGTATCGAAGGAATGGAGTATACTTTAAATACACATACACTAGTACCTTGAATGTCAGCTTTAGTTGAAAATTTATCCCCCAGAAGATATTGTGTAGTTTTATAACCAGAAGTTTCTCTCCATATCTTGCATTTATGTTTTTAAAAGTGTGCTGGAATTGTTCTGTAGAAAAAAAAGAGTTTGAATTATTTTTTTTATCAAGCAAAACCATGTAGAATTAAGATGCAAAAAGAAAATTCTCAAGAAATATTCTTTCATTACGGAGTCATTACTTGTAAATACTATGATTATTATTGTATGTACCTAATTTGTCATTATGCAATCGCCAGAAAAAACAGCTTTGGGTTCAATCGTCAGTCAAATCAGCATTGGGTTCTTTCAATACAAGCGGTACTGTGAAACTGAACTCCAGTTCCTTAATACATATGTGTAATAAAAACAAACATTTTTCATTAATTTGATAAAAGAACCGAATGGATAACGATTTGAATATTACATTTTACTTCAACTGCTATTTATACAAGGTTTTTATTTTCACTTTCATATCGAGATCGTATATAAATATGCATACATACCTATTCACAAAAGGAAAACAAAGAGCTAAATCCACGAAGGGGCTAAATCGGCCCAGTCATCAAAATAAATGAAACTTTCTCACATAAAACTCTAAGATTTGTATGTTGTAAAACAATTTATTTTTTAACAATATCTTTTCTGGTTTTCTTTTTACATTCGTTTAAATTTGGTATTGTTTTCCTTATTAATACTATCACGTCATTACGTTGACGTTACATACTTTAACGTCGTGACGTTGACATTTTGTATAAGAAAGTAACATATATGCGTTAATGGAATAAAAAAAACCAAATGAATATAGGCCCTTCTTAAAATTTTGGGAAAATTTTAGTATGAATTTTTTGAGAAGTTCTGAAAGCCTTTGGTTTATTTTTTAATTAAAGCTATTTGTACTCTTAAGAAATGCCAAATATCTGTTATATACAACAGTTGTCTGGTATAATCGTTGATACATGTAACACGCTTTAAATGATAATAAGAGACACGTTAAGCTGAAAACAAACACGTGTTTATCCGTCATATTCGAGTAAAACTGAATTAATGGAGTAAAATACCGGTATATACTATAGTAGCCACGGGTAAGGATTTTATTATTCTTAAATGTGTTATTGTATGGTCATACGACGTACAAACAAAAACAAGACTTTTTTTTCTTTAATAACAAAAACATAAAATTAAAAAGAAAAGTTGCATTAAAAATGAATACGTTTGAAGTTACCATCTATTTTATTGTCATTTTGAGAATTTCGTTACACTTCCGTAATTTATGGCATTTCCCGGACATTTGAAATGAAATTGTAGTTCATACATGTAATACACGTAAAAAAGTGATGTTTGACGTAATAGAGCGCACCACAGATTGACAGGAAAGAAGCCACTACAGACTTTTAAACAAGAGTAATGCAAAGCATCAAATCGGCGGAAAAAAAAGTTAAGAGTCCAACGAAAACACAAGATTTCCGAAGTATTTGAATTTCAAAACAGAACCTGAAGTTAAAAAAAGCAAGATAAACGGAAATGGCAGAATACCACTTTACTCAATGTAAATTACTTAATCGAAATAAAGTTCACTAATTATGATAAATATGTAACATCATCAAAGAGAAACGTTTTTATATACCCACAATAGGTATGAAAAGAGATTTCAGATGACAAAAAAAAAACGATCGAAGTAATTATTGCTAACTAATCGTTCTCTTATCATATTATCATATCTAACTTACTCCCATTTTGGGGAGTACCTATTATAAACCCTTTTAATAAAATCATAAAGTAATGATTATCTGGTGAGAAGTGAAAATTAAATTGAAACATAACAACAACTAAGACTAACACATAGTTCAAAGCCAGTTTTAACATTTTACTTATAATTTTCAAATATTTAAAATAACATTTCGTTTCTCCATGTGCAATTTCTAACAGAACTACAAATAGATAGGCGATAATGAGTACATGTACAGAAGACGATAAAATAATCATAATATCGTATACATATTGCATATATGAGATTTTTAACATGGACGTCGTCGGATCGTTATTCTTTGTAATTAAACAAAAATATTCGAAAAACAGCTACTGGTAGTAGTAAATGGCAATCATTACAGACCGTCTAAAAAAATTATAGACCACATGTCGAGCGACATATTACCATACCCCCCCCCCCCTAAAAAAAATCATGTTCAAATGCCCGATCTATAAAGTTATATTCTATATAGACATCCTTTCAAAAAAAAAAAACAAAAAACAAAAAACAAAAAAACAAATGGTATACAGGCAAAATTAGCAGTTATATCCGTTAATAATAATAATACATTCAGGATACACGGCCATGCCCCCCCCCCCCCCCAAATAATTTTGCCGATATATAGCATACTATATAAAACAAAGCTCCTATATGCTTGTGCCCTGTCAATAAAAATGTCTGATCCCTCCTTTTTTTTTTGCTTGTCAAGGAATTTTGGTAGTTAATAGAGCCCCCAACTGAAAGTGTATGGCTGCACCCCCCCCCACCCCCTCCAAACTGAAATTGCTACCTACGGGCCTGGGATCTATAATAAATTTATGCAATGGCTTCTTATTTTATATCAATGCTCTAATCCCCCTTTATGAATTTACACTACTACATGTATAAACATGCTTGCTAATCTTGGTTGCCCTCTCTCCCTTGGGCCTGTTACATTTAAGCGGAGTAACTCAAAATAGAAAGAGATAGCAAGTAGCCTCCCTTTGACATTTTTTTTTCATGTGTTGGCTAGGTCACAGCATGCATGCGATACTGAAATTACTTAGAACCATAAAGATTTGTGACTGCCTTGGTAATAAGTTCTTCGTTTATACAATATAGGACATTTTTCTTATAGAGGCCTATCACAAAAATTACATGCGATCTGTAAAATCAATCTATTGTTTATTTGATCTGTCAACTCGAATTTTCTAGGTTTAATACTTCGTAACATAATTTATGTTAAGAGGTCTCGAATCAGTAAAGTTTTTCACTAATAAGTATTAATTAATCTTTTGTCTTAAAATGCCACTGGCGATTTCTGAAACGCATGTTGGGTATGGGTCATAATTATAATACATGTATAGTTATAATAGACTCTTTTGCGTAACATTAACCATTTGTATGTTGTCGATGCAGACTTCACGACATTAATGTTTTGTAAGGTGGCAAAAAAATCATTATAAATACGTCTTGGTAGTTGACTCCGATGTAAATTGTTTAATATTCTAGGCTATTCCGACACGGCCACTCAGGAGAAAATAAAGATGTAGCCTACATGTTTCTCGGGTGATCTCCCTTTGATTACATAGTGACCATGGGACGAGGAGACGGGAGTTGGAAAACAAATTCAAAGCGAAAATAAATAGGCTGTCAGAGGAAAACAGAACACATTATTATTTTTTTAACATTTCAGCATAATGAAGAGTTATAGATCAACTTCTTGAAGGAAAAGTCTTGGGTCAGGACTGAGGTACGTACAAATAGTATGTACACAAAATGTCGACATTATTGCATCTACATGCAGTCTTGCTTAGCGAGAATTTTTCGTACTTTTTTGCACCACAACACAAAATAACTTTTAATAAATATAACATTCGCATTTCGAAACTTTTTAATATTTACAAAAACAATATAGAATCTTTTTCTTTTGTATTAATGTAGGGTGATCCTCGCTATTTTCACAGTGCGAGTCGGTGCTAAGGTATTTGAATCGAACGAAAAGTATTAATTTCGATGTGGCCACACCCTCGAACAAAATAAAAATATACTTTATTTATCACTGCGTATAGGCAGCTAACCACACAATCAAACTTACTGTGTTTCAAGTTTATTGAAGAACGTGGTGAAAGGCTGAAATACAAACAAAATGAACCTGTACACAAACACATAACAGACAGTCATAGGACATTCATACATGCTGACTAGATATTCATTTTGAAAGTTATCAGAATACATAGTAATGATATCTCACAATATCTCATTGAGCGAACTAAGCAATATATCAATGCTATATCATACATGTAAATTTGGCGGTATCTGCTATTTTTAGAAAGGACTATGAAATACACAAAACGTATGACACCTATGCAAACTTTAAAGCAAAATCAAATACTATAATCATGTAAACATTTACAAACATAAAAGCTTACAATGTGCTCTCGGCCGGATGGACAATATTGACGTTATAGCTGCAAACATGTGCTGCATCCCGCACCAGCAATGAGAACTTAAAAGTATTAAACAAAACAAAACACTGTAAACCCGGAAATATCCGGTTGCACTTAAAATAAGTTGTACATAAACTAATTCGTGAACACTACACTCCCCGTCTTATATCATAGATATAACTAGTCACTAACTGACATTGACAAAAATTTCAAACTGTTACTGCATAACTACAATAAACTTATTCACAAAGTTACTGTTCAAGCAGAAGAACCATCTCGGTTATGGGTCGGGTGTAAACCTTCCTGTCCTTGGCAACACATACAACAGCTTTCCGGACCATTGCATCATTGCTCTCAATCGGGCGCTCGACTATCCCCATCGGCCACAGGTTCCTATGGACGTTCTTCTCACGTAAGAGTACAACATCTCCGCTCTTCAGATTCTCTTTACTTGCCTACCACTTCTGTCTCTTTTGTAAACTGTCCAAGTAGGTAACGTGCCACTTCTTCCAAAACATATCAGACAGCACCTGAACATGTTTCCAGCTGGCTGTGTACATGTCCTTGATACCCAAATGTTCTGAGAAAGATCCGATATCCCCCTGTTTCTGTGTCAAGAGTACGTTTGGGCTCAGTACCATGGGTGATGATGGGTCCGTATCAAGCGCTATCGGGCGAGAGTTAAGTATGGCACAAACCTCTGCCATGAACGTGACTAGTACTTCGTGTGTAAGTTCTTTGCCTCTGTCTTGAAGCAGCATAGAGTCCAAAATCCTGCGAGCACTACCAATAACTCTCTCCCATACACCTCCCATATGGGATGCATGAGGGGCATTAAACAACCAGGTTGCTCTGTTCTCCTTCAGGTAAGTCTTCATCATATTGTCTTCAACGTTGATGGCATTCACATCAAGGTCCCCCACAGCTCCAATAAAATTTGTCCCCCTGTCAGAACGAAAAAGCTTTACTGGTCCACGCAAGGCTATAAAGCGTCTCAGGGCATTAATGAAGCATGAGCTAGACATGTCCTCAATCACTTCAATATGTACTGCTCGTGTAGTTAAGCAAGTAAACAAGACGGCCCATCTTTTACTCTGAGCTGATCCACCACGCGTCTTTCTGGTAACTACCGGCCACGGACCAAACACATCAAGTCCTACAGAGGAAAATGGGGGTCCTGGGGTGAGCCGATCAACAGGGAGATCTGCCATCTTCTGTTCCTGGGGCATCCTACGGAGCTTCCGACACACAACGCAACCATGAATGATGGAGGATACGAGTTTCTTTGCTCCCAGGATCCAATAGCCATGAGAACGTACGGCGCCTTCAGTGATCGTTCTGCCCTGGTGGAAAACCTTGTTATGGATGAAACGTACCAGTAGTACTGCCACATGTCCGTTAGGAACTATAACTGGGTTAAGCGATGAGAGTCCTGTACTCTTCAGCTTGTTCAAACGACCTCCAACTCTGAGCAGACCTTTGTCATCGATAAAGGGAGATAAATCCAGAATACGACTGTCCCTAGGTAGGTCATGTTTTCTCTCAATTGCTTCGAGTTCAGCACCAAAGGCCTGAGCTTGTACACATCTAATAATGAAGCGTTCAGTGTCTTTGCGCGCAGATTCACATTTGGTGTTCTGGCACATGTGCCAACCAGTACAGTCATTGGAACCTCGGTAGGAGGCAGCTACATGTCGAAGTATGGACAATGCGGCCACAAGACTGTCCCAAGTAGAGTATTTACTAAAACGATCCTCGATCGGGAGTAGCTTAGTCGATACATGTACATCAGCCTTAAAGGTGTTCAATTCGGGACGAACATCCTTATCGTCATCAGGGCTGATGAGTGGGTATTCAACCTCAGGTTCGCTTTCTGCTAGGTCCCTTGAACAAAACTGCACTGGTCCAACAAGCCATGTGTCTAACATATGACTAATGTCAGAAATTGATCCTCTAGTCGCTGCATCGGCCGGGTTCAGGTGAGTGGGCACATAGCTCCACTGGCTAGGGGTTGATACAGCATGGATCCTAGCAATCCTATTACTTACATAGTTGTAAAATCGTCTTGTCCTGTTTTTTTATGTATCCCAATATAACCTTACTATCTGTAAAATATTGGATTGATGACGAAGCGATAGGGAGGTGATCTGACACAAATTCTCCTATTTCTGCTGCCAGCACAGCACCACATAGCTCCAGACGTGGAATACTATGCCCTGCTAGAGGTGCGAGTTTAGACTTTCCCATGACAAATCCAATGTCATGCTTCACCTTCAGGTAAGCTGCAGCTGCAATCGCAGTTTCCGATGCGTCGGAAAATATCAGCAGTTGTGGGTCTGATGCTAAGCTCAGCGACTGTGGAACGAACATCCGGGGAATATGTAGACTGCTTAACTGATCAAGTGACTTACTCCAACTCTCCCATCTATCTCGGTACTCTTCTGGTAGAGGATCATCCCAGCTTGGACTCCCTGTACACATCTCACGTAGAATCAACTTACCACATATTGTCACTGGAGACAGAAAGCCAATGGGGTCAAAGATACTGTTGACCCTTGAGAGTATTCCACGGCGAGTGAAGGGAACATCAGCATCTGGCTTCTGGAAGACGAAACAGTTAGATCTCAGATTCCAGGCCAATCCAAGGCTGTGCTGAACTACATCATCATCCCCACCAATCGACAAGTCCTGAACGTCCTTTCCCAAGTCAGCTGGAGGAAATGCATCCACCACTTCTTGTACATTTGACACAATCTTATGCAATCTTATTTTCCCTTCTTCAGCAAGTACCTTCTGAGTTCGTCTCATAAGGTCAATCACTTCTTCAGGAGTAGGTCTAGACATTAATGCGTCATCAACATAAAAGTCCTGGTGTACAAAGTTGACTACATCGTGATCCGCGTCTCGTACTGCCCGTCTAAGCCCATATGTTGCCACCGCAGGGGAAGGCCGATTCCCAAACACATGGACGGTCATACGGTACTCTACCATTTGACAATGTGGATCGTTGTTCTCATACCAGTAGAACCGTAAGTAGTCTCTGTCTCTCTCGTTTACAAAGAAACGGTAAAACATCTGCTGGATGTCTCCTGCTATAGCACACAAATCCTTGCGAAATCGTAACAAGATTCCTAGCAAATTGTTTGTCAAGTTGGGTCCTGACAAAAGAGCATCATTCAATGAACATCCCTGATACACTATCGAAGAATCAAATACAGCACGAACTTTGCCAGGTTTCTTAGGATGCGTCACAGCAAATATTGGGATGTACCAACACTCATGTCCCCTGGCTACCTCTGGTGCTTTCTCCGCTGCTTCTGTGTTGAATATGTTTTCCATAAATTCACACATCTGTTTTAGCTTTTCAGGATTTTTCTTCAAACTATGGTCTAGGTTGCAAGCCCGTTTGAAGACTTGAGTTTTATTGTTCATAAGGTGTGGACGTGCATTCTTGAAAGGAAGTGGAGATGTCCAATTACCACTAGAGTTCTTCTGGAAAGTCTGGTCCATTAGTGACAAGAATTCGCGATCTTCCACAGAATTTCCCACCTTATTGTCATGTCTGTCAGTGTAAAACAAATTATCACCTTTGAAGTCCTGAGCTTGAGGGGGCATGTAAGTAGGGGGGCCTCGGACCTTAACATGAAGGCTGTTCTGGCATGGGGTAAATATTGTCCCTCTACCATCATTCTGAATATTGGTTTTCAAGACACTGAGATCACTTGGCTTGTGACGCCCATCCAAACATACCTCTCCAATTACGACCCATCCAAGGCTGAGCTTCTGTGCAAAGGGGGATGCTGGGGGCCCAGTCACCTGGCCTTGCACCTGATGCACATCCACCAAGTCCCTGCCAATCAGCAGCTGTATACCAACATCTCTGCGTAGTGGGGCAAGTTCCTTAGCAATATGCCGTAAGTGAGGATGAGCATGCGCAACCTCTGGAGTTGGGATTTCCATCAAGTTGTCTGGAATGTCATTACACTCTATAACGGGCGGAAGCTGATGACAGACAAGTCCATCCATAGACTGAATACAGAATCCCACTGCTCTTCTCCCAGATGTCTCAGTCACTCCAGCACAAGACTTCAGTCTGTAAGGGATGGGATCAGTTGTGACTTCAAGTTGGTCCAAAAGTTCAAAGCGAGCTAGGGTGTGGTTGCTCTGATCATCGAGCAACACATAAACAGTCACAGCAGCTTGTGGACGATCAATGAGAAATACCTTAGCAAGAACAACCTTGGCACAAGAACGTCCACCACTGACTGAACCGCAGAGTGTGGTGCACTTTGAAGATATTTCTGTTCCCTCCCCGCCATCATTTGAGGTGAGTATGTTTTCCTTTGTGTCTCTGTCACCTGAGTCTTTCTTATACCAGTGCATAGCAGTCGGGTGTAGTTTGCTCCCGCACACAGAACATGGAGAATATATGGTGCAAGATGACTGTTGATGTTCAGTCGACGCGCAACATTTGAAGCAGATGGAATGTTGCCTTAAGAATGCACGACGCTTATCCAGTCTCCACTTCCGAAATGCCTCACATTCGTTCAATGAATGTTTTGACTTGTGCACTGGGCACCGAGCTATATCACGGGAGTGATTCTGAAGGCGTGTATCACTTGTATCCATATCTATCTGGTCGTCTCTGGAAATGCTTGTCTTATGTGTAGATAATGTCTTCCTGCGGTCTAAAGGCTTAGGAGTACGGTAAGTATCTTTACGTGGTTGATTGTACACAAGTCCAGGGTCATTGCACATAGTGGCCATCTCACTGATGAATTTCAAAAAATGTTCAAATGGAGGGTATTGTGCATTGTTCTGCTGTTTGTACCTAAAGGCAATGGTAGTCCATTTGTCTTGAAGCTTCTTCGTTAGCTTGGCCACTATAGGTGTAATTCCAACAGATGTGTTGAACTGTGCTAACAAATTGGCAAAAATGTCATTATCCTTCAGGGACTGGATCTCGTTCAAAATATCACATAGTTGGTAGAGTTCTTTCCCGTCCTGACTGTCTAAAGTCTTAAAGTTCTCCAGCTTCTTCCTGATCGAAGCCTCTACAAGTGAAGGTGCACCATATCGCTCTTCCAGACGACGCCAAACTTTCAAACGACCTGCTACAGAGTCATTAGCATGACAAGCCTTAATGTTTCTGGCCTCGACACTTGAACTCGGTCCCAAGTACTTGACGAGCAGATCAAGTTCTTCTGTTGGGGTCACTGACAGTTCACTCATGACTCGCAGGAAGCTGGTCTTCCACGACAAAAAATGCTCTGGCTTGTCATCAAACGAGTCGATCTTGGTTACGAGGTCTTTTTTGAACCAGAATCTAGCAAAGTCTGTGAACAAGGGTTGTGGTTCGGTCTCTGAAGGGGTTGCAGGCGGTTCCTTTGCTGTGGGTATATAGGCTGGAAAGCCAGGGGTCACAGGAACATCTGTTGAGCGGGACGGGGTGTACATTGGAACGGCGCTAGTTGCAAAGGTAGGTGGGTGTGGTAAAAAGGCGTGTTCCCTCCGAGTCTGAGGTTCAAACTCTGGCGCGTACAAGTTCAAGGATGGTGGCTCAAGATCACGAACAAAGTCGTCTACAACACTCAGGTGGTCGAAGTCGGATATATCCGACCTATCATCTTCCTCCGCCATAGACAGTTCTGCGACTGCAATCTCCTTCCTTGCCGATAACTCGTTTATTTGTTTTTGGATATCGAGTGCCATCTGTTTTAACTCGTTTTCTTTCTTCACGAAATCCAGATGAACTTTTGCGGCTTCCAAACTGAGTTTCTGTGTGCTTCCAGTGTTAGAACGAGCATCCGTTAACGAAGGTGTCTTCTTCAATAGTACAGGAGAGCATACATTATTAAGTCTCTGAGCTATAGTACGGGCAAGGATTTCCACCCTTTCCATGTAAGTTCGTTTTACCACTTGGTGGCTTGTCTGTTCGAGAGAACTTTCGTATGTATTATGCCTGCACAGGAAGTCCAGGTATTCATCGCTCACACACTTATAGTCACTAAAACATGAGTCCAACCTGTGTCCAAGCTCACTCAATGCACTAGCACTACTGGTAGTTACGTTGCACTGTAACATAGTATCCAATTCTCTTCCTAATGAAAGTAGTTTGCGAATATAAACATCCCTATATTCTTCAAAGAGGCTTGCACCCTTCTGTGTGGGTTTCAACAGTCTTTTGGGGCGCACATCCCAATCCTCAGAGTCTGGGTATCTGTATGCCATGTCCAGAGTAGGCTGCTCACATTCCTTTCACTATCACTGCGTATAGGCAGCTAACCACACAATCAAACTTACTGTGTTTCAAGTTTATTGAAGAATGTGGTGAAAGGCTGAAATACAAACAAAATGAACCTGTACACAAACATATAACAGACAGTCATAGGACATTCATACATGCTGACTAGATATTCATTTTGAAAGTTATCAGAATACATAGTAATGATATCTCACAATATCTCATTGAGCGAACTAAGCAATATATCAATGCTATATCATACATGTAAATTTGGCGGTATCTGCTATTTTTAGAAAGGACTATGAAATACACAAAACGTATGACACCTATGCAAACTTTAAAGCAAAATCAAATACTATAATCATGTAAACATTTACAAACATAAAAGCTTACAATGTGCTCTCGGCCGGATGGACAATATTGACGTTATAGCTGCAAACATGTGCTGCATCCCGCACCAGCAATGAGAACTTAAAAGTATTAAACAAAACAAAACACTGTAAACCCGGAAATATCCGGTTGCACTTAAAATAAGTTGTACATAAACTAATTCGTGAACACTACATTATTTATTCATATTTTAATCCTCTTTTCAATGGTATAAATTTTATTTTGTTCGAAGGGTGTGGCCACAGCAAAAATTTGAACCAAAGACGAAAAAAATGCTTTATTTTGATAAAAACTAGCAGCAAAGTGCTCGTGTTTAGACGTTTTCTGTATAAATATGACGTCACCAAATAAAGAATTGGCATAAACTTTTTAAGTTTGATACCCAAGGATAATATTTCTATTGTTATTTTTCTTCTTCCCCTAAGTTTGATTTTCCTGAAAAAATAGGCCGATTTAGCCCCTTCGTGGATTTAGCTCTTTATTTAAGAAATAATGTATCATTTTAAACATCTATCGGGATATTAATACAGGTTGGTCACGAGATCAAATTCCATAAAGCCCGTCAAACATGATGTACACTTTCATCCGATAAAAACTAAACCCGGACCGGAAATAAAATGTGGAATGATTTCAATTTTACTCATAAAATAACCGTAACAAAAAATACTATAGTTAACTATAGTTTACTATAGTATCAAAGTTTTTACTATAGTAAACCAAAGTTTTTACTATAGTAAATCAAAGTATTTTTACTATGAATTTCAGGCCTTGAGACCATAAGCTGAGAACAGACTTAAGTCAAAAATTTGATTTTGAATATCTTGAGTTTTATTCAACATATGTACTTAAAAATTTGCAGGTTTGTATAATACTCTAACTTATGATGAAAATTATGTTTCGTTATGAAAATCATATAGAAGTTATATTAATTCCAAATTTCGACTTAGGTCTGTTTTCAGTCTATGGTCTTGGGACCAGATTGTTATATTTTACGTTCTCCAATTCATACAGGTATATATTTTATATACAATGGAACTATTACTTGTATATTCACAAAATATTTCAAAAGGCTTGTATCACTTTCATCGAATTTAAAATATTTCAAGCTTTGAAATCTCGAAAAAAATTTCAAGAGTGAAGTTTCATTGCAAATCAAAGTATCAAAGTTTTCATTATAGTTAACTATAGTAAACTATAGTTAACTACGCAGCTATGTTAAGGCTTCCCGAAGCTTTAAAATGCGCTCAAAACATAATACGTCATTGCGAGGTCGGTTTTGGTTTTAATTTATAAGTATTGAACTTGAGTACTTCCAATTTATATAAAGGGTTTCCTCGGCTATATATTAGCATATTTGTTATGATATCACATGACTTTGTTGATCACGTGACGGTCATTTATAATTTTTTGAAGTGAATCATATAAATCGCTTCGGTGCAGCTGATTAACACAATAATTATTAACATTTTGTTATATAAATAAACTTATCGTATCCTTGTGTATCCGAAATATGCTTGGGAAAAGTCATAGTATTACTTGGGTACAAAATATTTCCTGAGAAATTCAACTTACCTACAAATTTGAGGGTATTTTCCGTAATTTATCGTAATCTGTGTAAACACAAAGCCAACACACATTTTTCCCAAGCAAGATTCAGTTAGAGAACAACCTCTTCTTACAGATTTCCACAAAAATTCTCAGATTAATCCTCATTAATCACCTGCGCCAGACTCTTTTATACACACAAAATAAATTCTACCTCCAACCACGGGTATAAAACAGAGTACATTTCAAAAGTATATTTTTCATAAGCATTTTGAACATGATGAATTTCAATCAAGGGTAGGTAAGCGGTGTATTTTTAAAATATTCAGACATATAAGACTTAAAAAACCTTTAACGACCCGTGAATTTTGCAATAGCTATCTAGCATTTTACATGCAGTTTGAAATAAAGTGTAAAGTTCATGACACTCTCCCCGTCATAACACCTCAAGTTTGCAGTGACCTGACGTCATTTTCCTTTATGACGTCATATTTTGGTAGTTCAGAGATGTGAAGGCACAGAGTGCACTGTCATATTCTACGGGAAGCCTTAACCTACCTGCGTATTTTTAACTATAGTAAATTTTTGTTAGGGAAACCCAATTAAAACGGCTTTGAATTAACAATACATATTTTAATTTCTACTTGATAAATTTTGTTTTGGAAATGTCATGTCCAAGAAAACAAATTTTGAATTTTGTGAAAAGAGTTTGGGGGAGGGTGTGTTACAAAGTAGTTATCCTCCTTTTTTATGCGAGCTTCTACAAGAAATTATCATCTTGGTTCTTGTAAATTAATATACATTCAAATTCATCTTGATATATGTTAATGAAATTATTATTTTAATTTGCAGTCCACTTGTTTAAAAAATAACATAAGATTAATCTCGTGTTATTCATATTAAGGCGCGGATCCAGGAATGTTTCCAGAGGGATTGAAGGGGGGGGGGGGGGTGAGGTCCACCCAAGTCAAAAAAAAAAATTCCAACCCAGAAATTGATGTGGATAAGCTATTACTTATTATATAATTTTTAAAGTTTGTCAGGTAAAATACTCAAGATTTGTGGGCAGGAAAATTGAGCTGTTGAACATTTTCTTACGTCCATACTTTATTGTTTAAGTGTCAAACTTAAAACATATGTTAAACTTACGATAGAAACAATCATATGTTTAAAATATGTCCAACATATGTTACACACATGGTTACCACAAACATATATTCAACATATGTTTTGAGTCTGCTATATGTTCAATATATATATATATATATATATATATATATATATATATATATATATATATATATATATATATATATATATATATATATATATATATATATATATATATATATATTAAAACACTTCTTGAAATATTTCGACCGTGTTACCGGCCTTCATCAGTCGTGTTTATTGGAATGCATAGGAACTCAACATTGGACAACGTATAATGACGTCACAATGAATATTATAATAATACGTCGAAATATTTCAAAAAGTGTTTGAAAGTTTTTTTATTACATGTATATTACCAAAAAAGAGACCTTGGATATATATACAGTAACTGGAACATTCTACTTTCCCACTCGAACGGTGAGCAAACGCTGAACGAACGGTGAGTGAACGATGTGTGAACGCTGAACGCAACTTGGTGAACCATAGGCGAACGGTGAACGGTGAGTGAACGCAGAACGCGAACGGAGCGTGAACGCAAGCGCAATTAGTGAACGGTGAACGAACGGTGAACGCATGATGAACGATTTATTCGGAATGCCTCTGATCTTTTCCATGCATTGTATCTATTCTATTGTATTCTAATGTCATGTGCAAAAATAAATAAATAAATAAATAAATAATAGATAAATAAATAAATATTAAAAAATTCTCACAAAATAGATGAAACATGCACATTTAGTAAAACTATTAATTAAGTTTCTTATAATATTTTCTGCACATATGTATGATGTTTAAATTCAGCTGTTTAATCACACGATTTTTATCGCTATAAAACATTGTAATTGTTACCGAATGCTGTAGTTTAAAATATGAAATTATTACAAATAATGATTTTTGAAGAGGATCGAATTGAAACGTTGGTAACAACCATGCATGTATTTCCGGTGTCAGGGCAATTCCGTGTAAAATAATGAGAAAAACATTTAAAATATCTTGCAAAGGTTTGTGGACGTATTGCATAAATACACTCGTGTTTAAAAAAAATAAATATATATTTATGTGTCTTTTCATTTTTTTATGATGATTTATTACTCGGACAAGATGATACAAAGAAGCATTCATATTATTTGTTATAGATTAAAATTTCAGAACTTAATATTAAAGTAATATGCTGTCATAGTTTTGATTAAACGGACGAGAGAGAGAGAGAGAGAGATAGAGAGAGAGAGATTCCGTTTTAGCCCCCCCCTTTCCACGAATGCATGTACCTGTATAAACAAAAATTTTTAATCTTTATCTAAATATATCAGGCAGTGAAAGTCACCTTTTTTCATCAACAAATTCATTTTGTTTCACAGTCATAATCGGTTTTTATTACATTTTCAACAGTGAAATACTGTGATTTATTTATTGAATAAAAGTGAAATTCTCTCACAGTGTGAAAGGATACCAAAATGATATTCTCTCACAGTGTGAAAGGATATCAAAGTAAGTAAAAAATAATTTCTGGCCTGTCATAAGATAGAAATAGTAACTAAGTATCTTGATAGAGCTAAAACTGCAAATTTTTCCCAAATACCGGTATGTTGCTAAAATCCATGCTATGTAATGTTTTCAATCACACAACTGCTATAAAGCTATGACGTTTCAACCACTCAACTATGACGTCAAGCCTATGACACTGTGTAAAGAAAAGACAGAGGCAAAGTCAAAATCAAAGAAAATGTAATAAACAGAAAATTCAATGTTTTGTAGAAGAATATGGAATTTATTTCACTCGTGAGACAGGATTTTTTTTATATTTTCACTCGTGCTTCGCACTCGTGAAAATATAAAAAAATCCTGTCCCACTCGTGAAATAAATTCCATATTCTTCTAC